GCCAGCTGACGACCAAAGCACCGTCCAGTGCACCGCCCTCCCACCGGACGATTAAGGCAGGAACGGAACAGTGTAAAAAAAAAAAAAGAAGAAAAAGACAACGAGTACTCACCCAAACATAGTCGTTGACATCTTCAGACGCAAAAAGGCAGATCCAGAACACGCCGTTGGAACCAATTCCCCACTGGAACCTACGAAAACCGAACGGCACTTCGAAGCAGCAGGAAACAGAGCACAGTTTCTCCAGATCTATCCTCTAGGCCCCATCCGGCGCAAGGCGTCCCTTCCACCGCACGGGTAGGGCAAGAATGGACCAACGGGAGGAGGACACGGAGGAGAGGTGAAGAGCCGAGTGAGAAAATGATTTTCGTTTTTCTATGCTTAAAGGGCATTTATGACATTTCGCTTCTAGGATCTAATCTACACCGTAGATTGTTTTTCAAAGCAATCGCGGATCGGATCATCTGCACGTAGTCCGGACTGCAAAATCATAACTAATTTGCTGTTAAGTTTGGGTTTTTTGGGTCATCTTGGCCCAGCCCATGAGATGCAAACAAAACAACTGAAATAATGAATCAATATACACATAATTCACTAACGGTATTTAAATCATTTTTCAGGTATTTTTACATTTTTTTTTCTTACTGATCGACCTCGTTTAATTAAGTTATCTTATGGTCGGTTGGTTTGGTTTGTTTAAAAGTAAAAATACAAATCAAACTAATTATCTCATTTTAAAATTTTATAATCCAAACTAATTTAATTTTACATAGTTTTAACAAATTTGGTTTAATTTTGACGTTGGATCAATCAATTTAAAATGGATATGAACAACCCACGTATAAGTAGTGACTCCAAAATTTCTTTATTAGTTGATCTTTTTTTATTCCTTCCCATTCAAGGGTTTTTTTTTTTCTTTTTGTTATACAACAGGTGGGCAATTCTCTTATATTTCTTAATTTATTTTATCCACATATTATGTAATTTGAATTTAAAATCTATTATTTCAATAAAAAAAAATTATTACTGAATTATTTAAGTTGTTGGTTCCATTCAAGTTTTTCTTTTTATCAACTTGAGTGTTGTCCCCTACAATAATCTCTAAATGATAAAGGTAACATTGTTGTTTGAAGAAACCTTATACCTACAATGTTGTTACATGTTGGTAAAATCTTAGGTTAAACTCTTAAATTTATTTTAGATTTTTTTATTAAGCCCTCAAATTTTTATAGAAACAAATCAACTTTTGAGCTTTGTAATTTAAGCAAATTAAACCCTCTTATTTATGGCAAATTTAACATCGATTTGTGCATCACTCATAATTATGGTATTGGTAATGTGGACAAGGTATTAATATGTTATTGCCTATGTGATGAGTATTAACCTTGTCTTTTTTTTCTTTTTTTCTTTTTTAATTTGAATGGGCAATATAAGAAGGATAGCCCTCTCTTTTTCCCTATATCCCTCCCCGCCTAACTGAAGGTTCGAACTTAAAATTTCTAACTTGAAATCTCAAGTTCTTAACCATTGAAACCATCCCATTGGGGTTTATATTGACTTTGTCAATGTAAGTAAAATACAAATGAGTGTTAAATCTGCTATAAGAAAGAAGGTTAAATTGTTTATATCGATAAGTTTAAGGATTTATTTAATTTAATAAAAGTTTAAAACTTAATTAAAAATCAAGGATTAGTTCAAGGGCTTCACATAAGATTTTGCCTTACATCTTTTCTAAACTACAGTATGGACATGGTTTTCGCCACACTAAAATATTATAATTTTATAATTATATTTGGTTTGACCTAGAAGAGTCAATTAATAATTATAATTGTTAGTTAATAGTTGATAAAGTTGAACAATTAATATTTACTATTAGTTAACAAATTATAGATTGATATTTTTAAGAATTTGCACAAAGTAAGCGTACAATAAATTACACCTTTTCATAATCAATTTTTATTAAAAGTATAAATATTGACTTTAATTTAATTAATTAACCAATTCAAATCATCTATATGCTAGTGATGTTAAAATATATGTTAACTTTTACAGTTTTTAATATGAATTAATAACAAAAAATATATATTTATAACACTCTTAACTCATATTTTCAAACATAATAAATATTTATAAACTAATAAAATCATTGGTAAAAAATAAAATAACATTAGGTAAACTAAATATTGTTTGGACAGCTTCACAAAACTCTACTATTGATATCACAATCTACTCCAACACCTGAAAAATCCGAAGATATTTCCTCGAGGAAAATAATTTGATACTCAAGTTAGCAATACTTTATAATCTAAAGAGAGAAGGTCTCAAGAAGAGCAATTGCAAAATAAGAAACGTAGTTGAACTATTACCTTATGTGGACGTAGTTAGGGATATTTATAGGCTCTTGACTCTGATAATCCTACTAGGTGTCAACATTCCATTGGTACACTTGTCTGCATTCACGTGGATGCACCACAGTTATTCTGCCTGTACTTTTGGGCTCTACATCTTTTGTGCTTCATTGTTATTGTTGGGCCAATCTCCTAACAAATATAATTATTATCTTTTCATCTCACATTAATATTTATTTGTATGAGCATAACCGTGACTCTTGCTATTTTGGCAAAAGAAAAAAAAAAGCTGGAATATATAGTATTGTTGCTTAAATTAACTCCGGTTCCATGTCAGAAAATTAATTGGAAAGAAATTATACTAACAATTATCTAAATTTCTTACAGCAACGGTGTTAACCTTGATCTGATTTCCATGAACCATTGGTGGGAACTGGGAACTTCCATTCCTTACCCTAGTAATAGAGCACTTGAAATCTCATCCGTTTCTTCAATTTTTTTTCTAAAAGGATCTTTTATGTAGTTCTTGAAAAAATGAGCAACATAACCAACGACCTGTTGATTCGAGTGGAATGAACTCGATTCTCTTTAAACAAGATGTCAAGTTTGAGTTTTATAAATAGAGAAATAGGTGCTGAGAGAGCTTTTCTCCTAATGAGGTCCGACATAGCTCATTTTCGAATTAGGCGAGACCCAATGTGGTTACCGAATATCAAGAGGTTAATACAAACAAAAAAAAAAAAAATTGAGCAACATTCATGCATTTGGTATCAAGATGGACTCCTTTTTCCCAGATAATTAGGGGAGGATCCAATCCGGCTTGGAACGTTGCAGCTGCTATCATTGCGACGATAACGGGGAGCAAGTCCTTATCCTTTAAGTACATACTCCAACTCTCCTTAATGATATCTTTTATAATTATACACACATGTTTTGCTTTCAGATCAAGTTGCTTGTCCTCTACTTTCCGATATCAAGTTGTGTCCCCTTCTCTACAATAATAATCTGGTCTCCACTTTGGTGTCGAATTAAATCTAACACCTGGAATGGTGTCACATTTTTTTTTTTTTGTAAGGTTGTAAAAAAATCTAAATGAATAGTGTTGCAAAATCTGGAATATAGTATAGAGGAGCCTTCATGTTATGCCTATGAATATAT